CTCGAGGTCGGGGGAAGTTAGATGGTTCACGGCAGCAAAGTATGCTACAAAATGTACCTCAGATAACACGTGGTGGCCATATCAAACTCTGAATTGCACTATACAATTCGGATCGTGGTCACATTCCGGTGACGAGATCGAGCTTGTTACCAATCAGAATGTGGTATAATTTGTTCATTTTCCACCAAAACAGATTTATTTCGTATCTGAGATAAGCAATACTTGCGCCAAGACTTGCGCAATATGTGTATAAAAAAGTTAGATTTTTTAGTAATGCTTTCATAAGTTCTTTTCTTTAATTTTTAATCTGCCAATTTAATTACAGTCACAGGCAAGTATAGATTCAAAGAATGTCGAGTGGGATTTAGTGGAACTTTATATAACAAGATGGGAAAATAGATACAAATACAATTCGGGTTCGACCGTCAAAATGCTTTCCTATCACTTTATTCTGAAGAGTCATTCGGGCATCATACGCATTGCGTACATATCACCTACCATAGGTACGTGTTGCGTATTTTATTGATTTTTATTAATATTAATTAATATTGTTTTATTGATGGCAAAATATCCTTTTCTTTATTATTCAAAGCATATGTGATAAAAACTCGCGATCAAATTTTGTAAAAACAATTTGTTGATATTAAATTTACCATATATATTAATAGATGGAAACTTAATTTTCAACGAGCAAATAAATTAACTTCATTTACTTGCTCCTTCTATTAATTTCGATATGTTGCGCATTTTACATAATGTTCACAGTGTTAATGATGATGACTCTGATGACATTGTGGCTAGAACCGAAATCTTTCGAGCGAATGGTGATTGCTAATCTCAATTTCATTTGTCATTTATTGTGCATACAAGACGTGCATTGGGAAATGCCAAAGAGCGGCATTAACACTCCCAAAATACGTAAGTATTTAACAAAATATAATTTAATAAAGTAACAAGTAAAAAAACCTATTCGCTATTTATCCATCTTAATATTCTTCAATTCTCAACAATTAATATTTCAATATTAATTTCTGCAAAATTAGTTTATCCAATTACATATATTTAATTAAATGCTTAACTTAACTATTATCGCTAGCTTTTTAGTTTACTTCCTAGTTTCGCTGTGCATAACAAGAAAGGAACAGAGAGAAAAGAAAGAAGAATTAAATCATAAATATATTTTTTATCAGTTTTCTTTTACGAGAGTTCTCTCGGGATAGCAACGTTCGCTCTCATCCTTACCAGTATTTTGCGACACCTGCAAGAACTGACTACCGAGCCACCCATGTGGATCTCAGCCGGCACGACGTCCATTTTGCGCAGTCAATTTGGACGAATTCTTTTAATCAGCATTCTGGATCCTGCCGCGACAGCCAAAATAGAAGCAGATGTGGATGACAATACTGACCTCGTGCAATCGAATAGCAAAACATCGCCATGGAGATATATTATAGTGCTTATAGGATGGTTGGCATTTCTAAGCGCATTTATCGCCTACATTGTATTGTTAAGTATGTGTTTCCCTACGAACTAAGCTGCAACATAATTCTCTAATATATAAGAAGATAGATTTATTTTTAATTAAGTTGCTATGGATATATGTATCATAATGTTGTTAAATGATGTAATTTTATAACAAGTAAAAAATATACAAGATATGCACATATTATATAATGTTATATAGGATATACATCGATTGGATAGATTGGATCCTAATGTCGATGGGATAGTTTTCTTTTTTTCTTCTTATAAATATCTTTATTTTGTAAAACAAGTTTGCTTTGGACACTTATATTAATATCCTTCGTTTTTGTTTATTTAACAACAGTGTCAATTGCAACTTAACCCTACGTATCTTATAATAAATAGAGAACTCAGCAAATATAGGTAGAGCGAAAGTAACTGCCCGAAAATATACCTAACTTTTATGTATGGCGTCATCACGTCTCATAAATGATCATTTCCGAATGATACTTACAGTTAAACTTTCAATACGATCTCGCTGAATTTCTCGACTTTGCAGCGATCAACATTTCGTTACACTATGTACACATCATGATTTAGTATTTCCACCTCAGAAAAATCTTCAAAACGCGCGAGTAAAACAAACCTTCGTTACGTAGATGTCAACCGTTTCTATCGTATACACTTCCGAAAAGATATGTATAGAAACAAATAAATTCGTACGAACGTTTCGAGTCGACACATGTACCGGCAGTCATCGATAATTAATAGAACATGTATTACGCATATATATACTAAACACTGAAAATATCACTGGGAAAAAGATATAGAAATTAACGGGTACTGCTTCCTAAACATATATGCGAAAACGGAATGAGCTGATTCTCACTGTGATTGATATAACAAATAGTCCTTCAATAGTCTCGGCAAAGGGAGCAGATTAACTGCATTTCTCTTGGTGTATTGCAATATAGCGTCGCGGCATGCACTCTGTAGCGTTGATACTGCTGAAAACACACAGAAAGCGCGTTGAGAAAAGAAGCAAAACTTAATGTAAGATATAGATTATAGATATTCACCTCCATACAGTTGAACTATCCGAACTTGTTTCGTGGTACCGTAGACATCCACCACCGCGCGCAAGGGTCCCGCCTTATAAGGAATATCCTTTCCGCATACACCCTGATCCTCGCCGTTGATAATGAAATGCATTTCTGCCTTATCGGGACAACCAGCTTGCGGCACATACATGATACCGATACGACTGCCCGCATCCGTAGGCAGGATGCACTGGGAAGAACCGTCTATATTTGGCTTGAGAGCGTTGAAGGGAATAACACCACGCGACGTTTGCACGTTGACTCCATCCGTGACCAGTTTCTTCTCTCTGGCTGGTATTCCTGGTGGTATACCTTTGATGATGGATAAGCACATAACATTCAGCAAGCATATAATATGCTACAAATTTGGAATGCATCTAATACATGTGTCATTATCGTTAACGCTTTTATTATGTTCTCATACCTTTATTATTTTATTTTTTGCATCATAGTAATTTTTATATCAATATTACAAACATATTATATCGTTTCTAACAAACTTCCTTTACAAGTTAAAGTAATATTACATTCATAAATAGAATTTTTACAAGATTATCATAATAATTTCGTATAACAGATACTAACCAGTAAGAGAGGTGTATGTAGATGATAGACCACCGTCAAAGTTGTCCCAGATAGTTTGATTCCTAGTTATAGCGAGGATCCATGTGTTGCCTAGTCGAACCAGATTAGGCATCGCGTATTGAGGCAGGTTGTTGTTGACCGAAGCCGGATCGATCAGGGTGAGACCCAGCCGCATGTGTCCGCTCCATCCCCTCTCCGTCTTCTCGATCTCCACGAGGAAGATTTCCCCCGGCTGCAACGGCTTCTCGCTGAAGGCTACCGAGTTGGCAAAGCTTGTGGTGCGCACTGCCACCGTGCTGTCCTCGCATAGGAGGATGTTCTCGCCGTGGATGGGGTGGAACCTGGTCACTATCTTCCTAGACTCCTCGCTCATGGTGGCGCGACGTAGGACGAAAGTACGCACACCCGAACAAGATCGCGCGCGTATGATTGCGCCGCATGCACTAGGTGCATGCCTGATGGCCTGATGCTGTCGGATCAACACGAGCCGCTCCTATGACACACCGTCATCGAACGGAAATCGTGCGAGATCCGTTTTCGTGGCGGCTCGCCGCCCCCGGGGACACTCGACCGGGAGGAAACGCGTGTAGGACTTCGCCCGTGAAAGAAATCGTTCCGCCCGTAGGAACGACGAGCGATACCAAAGTTTATGAGGAAGCGGATTATACGAGAATAGTAGCAGCGGTGTCGACCGCCGTGAAACTCACCGTCGCTTGAAAGGCTTTCGTTAGGTTAGGTTCTCGCTACGGAGCAGTCGCGGCGATCACGGGGGGATCCGAGAGACGCCGGTTTCACGAAATTCACATGTTGTCGCGGGCGACGGCCTAGCCGGGAACGTTTCCGGATCCTCCTGTGTTTACGAAGCTGCTACGAACCACCATTACAGGGATTGCGAATCACTATGGCGCTCCGGACTCCGGACTACTCCGGGGCCTCCGGAGCGAGGCGCGTGCGCAACCATGACGGACGAGTATCTAGATACCCTTTGGACTTTACATGATTAGAGCTTTAAAACATGATCTCTCTCGCGCAGAAAGAGCGCATTTTTTTTTAATGATATAATTATCATTTGTAATCAATACAATTTTATGACGCGAATAAAATGCGATAAAACACAGCGATATCTCGTTAGATATTGATATGTTACTCATTTATTATTCATGTATACAATTCTTAAATAATAAATCAACTTGATAAAGGAAATTTTAGAATCTGTATCTGCATTGTATGCCAGAATTATTATTGGCGTACACCTCTTAAATAATAAATCCAATTGATATGGGAAATCTTAGGATCTGTGCTGCATATCAGAAGTTTTCCAGTTACTGGATAACCGTCGTTTTCCAGTTCTATCTTACTGTTTGACGTATCTTTTAAGCGAACGATGATAGGGACCACCTTGCGATATTTATTCATGTTAATGTGTTGTTAGATCGTAATAATTAATAAATCTGATAAATCATAAGATTACGTGGTATTGAAATAACTAACAATTAAAATAAATTCTATTAATTACAAATTATTAATAAGTGAATTTTTATAAAAGACTCCTTTCTTTCCATTATTAAAAATGTTGTATAAATTATTTATATATATTAGAGCTCTCTTTCTTGAGAGATAAATAAACATTTCCAATTTCAGAGATTAATTATGATCATTCAAAAAAGATAATATAAAAATTTTGTACAATTACCTGTTTGGCTTTAATTTTGTCCAACGACGTCGTCGTTGCGAAAACTTCGGGATTGTCCAAGATAAGCTCGAAAGATTTGGTTTCTTTAAATATATTTTTGAATGGTATAGAAGCCGGCACGTCAGCGGTAACTGTATACGGTCCTTGAGGTTTCGGTAAGGAATACGTGCCGACAAGAGGAAATCTGTATATAAACAATTTAGAAACACATTCTATATATTTGACTTATTATATTCTGACTGTGCACTGAATGACGAAGCAATCAGCAAGACAGGCTTAACTCTTTGATCTCCAAACTTCTCTCGCAACTGACAATGAGTAAAGATCAAATATTTCATCAATTTTTATCTAATCGGTTAATCTAACACATAAACCAAAGAATTTTTATTATTTGAAGGAATTTCTGGAGATCCTAAAAATCTAGTTTGTCAATTACAATCGCATACAGACTTGAGTCCTTGAAGAACTATGCGATAGGCTATCGCAACATATGTCTCTCGAGTTTAATTCGATGTTAGAATCACGAAGGATTAAGCCATCTTAATTGCGAATTATCGTACACAAATTCGCCGGCAATCTCGGATGTGGCTGTCAAAGTAGCGGAGATGTTGTCGACGTCGCAGGGCTCGTAAGTTACATCGAATGCAGCATTCTTCAAAGCTGGCACCTCGACGTTCTTCGGAGTCGTGAAGCATTCGTTATTCACCTAAACCGAGAATGAGATTTTTCTAACGATTGTTATGGCAAAAAGAAAATATAAGAGGAAACGTTTTATGCTCACCTTGATGGCGAACACCGCAGTCTTTCGGGCGTGATTGCTTATAGTCAGAGAGAAGGTGGTGGAACCGCCGAGTACCGCGACGACGTGAGTCGTTTTCTCCGCGGGTGCTGGTATCGCTCGCAATCGCAGCTCATAGGGAAACAGTCCGAGCTCCTCGCAGTTGATGTCCAAGTTTACCGCGGTTTCCTCGGCAGGGTGTAAAGGACGATACTCAACACCGATGGTTTCCTGTCACATTCACGGCGATCGTTATCGTTATTTGTTTGCCACGATTAAATTAATTTACAAGTTGCGGATGTAATTCCTTTATTATATTAACCCTTTGCCATGTCGATATATAACGTATTGCGGTAGCCTATCGCATAATTTTTCAAGCATTCAAATAGCGATTATAATCGGCAAACTATATTTTAAAAGATCTCCATAGATTTCTCCAAGTAATACAAATTTTTGAATGTTTATTTATGTATTTATTTATTTAGATACAGCTAATAGTTTGGACCGGAAGGAGTTAATATTTTAATGCACTTTCAGGAAAATTGAACTTAATTGGGTATAACTTTCAACATATTATCGACAAAATCCGATGACTAACGCTGTGTAAGGGTGCTACAAGCTTTGGTACGTCGTAGATCATGATGCAGGGATGCTGACAGTTTGCCGTA